TCCTCTGATAGAGGTATGCGAGTCTTCCGCGTGATCATCTGTAATTCATCACGAGCCGGCTTCGATACCGCCAGGTACTCCAGAATAGAGCACTGCATGGGTTGCCGAAGGGCCCGTCTCAGTGGCTCGACCGTGTCAATCTCGTCCAGCGAACTCTTCATTAAAAACTTCTTCACTCCCCGCTTTCGCGGCGAAAGGATAACCTCCTCTCCATCGACCCGCTGCCCGTCCTTCTCCGCCATCACGTAATCCATGTCAGTCTTCTTCGATGTAGATCCTCTTGCCGACCTGGTGGCTGCCACCCTTATGGGTGTGGTCGCGATATTCCCCTCAAAGGTTATCTTGATGCTCTGGCTCCTGACCGGCTYCATTCCTTTACTCGTCTTTATTCTCCTTGCTTCGACATTCTCCTTCATCGAAGGGAACATCGATACATCTCCCAGATCATCTGCCCACTTGACGTACTTGCAGTCGTCAAGCACGACAAGTCCCTCATCTATTGCCCGTTTGAGGTCCAGGCAATCCCTTTTGATATCATCTTCTCCTCTACAGTAGACGCATGAGTTCCTGGGAGTAGATGCCCTGTCATCTGCGCCTCTAGAGATCGAACTCTTGGCCACCTTGGGGTCAGGCGACTTGGGATATGGTTCTGATGAGACGCCATATCCCCCTCTCTCATTCCGACCGTGCGGATCGTTGCACCGGTCTCCTCCAGACCCTCCTTGCTCATATCGCCCTCGCGAATCATTCCGGCGGTCCCCCGAGTCATATCGTCCTCGTGACTCATCGCGTCGGTCCCCTATGTTGTACCACCCCCGCGAGTCGTCGCGCTGCTCTCTCGCATCTCCCCCTCGCTCAAACCGCCCGCGCGACCCATCTCGTCGTTCCCAGTCCCAATCTCCTCTTTCATACCTACCACCTTTGTAGCCATCTCGACCCAACCTCTCGTATCTGTCGTCCCTATATCCGTCTCGGTCCGATCTCTCATATCTGTCGTCCCTATATCCATCTCGGTCCGATCTCTCGTATCTGTCGTCCCTATATCCATCTCGTCGGCCCTGATCTGCCTCCCATCGGCCGCGGGAGTCGCCTCTACCCCGATCGGCCTCATAGCGAGGGCTTCGCGGGTAATCATCCAGCCTCCTTGCTCGCGCAAACGGCTCGCGATCTCTGCGGTCTCGGTCTATCTCATCGTCCCTACGTCGCCATGGCTCATCGTCTCTCTCTCTTCCTCTTGTACGATAATCAGTCAGCGTCCGAGGATTTCTATCCTCGACACTCCTCCAGGAATCGTTGTTCCTACGGTCCCAGCGAAGTGAATAGGGCCCCCCAGGTTTGTCCCAGTAAGCCGTGGCCCCTATAGTGGTTACAATCTCTGTAACCTGTCTCGTTAATACCTTCACCATGTCCCGTATCTCCTTCACTTCCTCAGTCACGGCCTCATTCTTCTCCGACCAGGGATAATCCTTGAAATCAGGACATCTATCAGTGGCATACTCCTTGTTGAGAGAGAAGTCACGTCTCCTCATCCCTCTCCACATTAAGTCCTTGTAATCGTCTGCCTCTGCCTTTATCGCGAGGAAGATCTCTAAGTATACTCTTTGGCCTACCTTTGGACAAGTGTCCGATGAAGATAGTACAGCGCTCGACCTCTGAGATCTTCCCCTTCTTCATCAGCACGTCAGAGATCTTTTGGAAACGCATCCCAAATGCCCGTACGCTTTCATCTTTATCTCTAGTCATTGTTTCAAGGTCCTTGATGGAATACTTGTTATCCTCCAATTTGTAAAGCTCAACGAGGTTCTTCTTGTACGTGGTTCATTTCCCGTCCTTCGGTCGAGCTTCCTTAACTTCCCTACCRAGACTTGGGTCCACATTAAATAGGAAGTTCTCTATAATTTCTTCCTCCGACCACTGACTCCGGCTGGCGTGAAGCTCCCACTTCTCCAGATATTCTGTGATACCATAGCCCCTGAAGGTAGGAGGCTCTGAGACCTTGTGCGTAATAATATAGCGATCCTTGCTCTCGTAAGGGAGCGGATGTGACTCCCCTGTCTGGGGTTCGAAGACTCACCTGGGCGGCGCCCTGTCTCTGTCTCTGTCCCTCCAATAGGAATCCCTCAAATTCTCTCTCCAGTCGTCTCTGTGCCTGTCCGCTATGGTGTCCCTCCGCTCGTACTCGGGGGAGCGTCGCCTCGTCGCTTCTCGTCGTCCGCTCGCCCTCCGCTCGTACTCGGGGGAGCGTCGCCTCGTCGCTTCTCGTCGTCCGCTCGAGGTACCCGTCTTTAGAGCCTCCTGCGGCTCTGTCGCAACTGGTTCGCCTCTTATGTCGGGCCCTCCGTCATTGGTTTGGTCATCCCATCTCAGCGGTGCTTCTTGCCTAATTCGTTCCTTCAGATCCCTAAGTGCTCGATCGGGCGATGTCCTGTACTCCTCTCCTACTTCGCCCGTAGTAGGTTGTGGCTCCATCGTGTCTGGTTCCGTAGGCTACCAGAAGTTGTAGTCGGGCACTTACGCCAGGCGTTACAGCCCGGACCTATGACAGTTGGAGCAGCCCGGACCTGTGACAGAACTCGCGGCCACGACCTGATGTCAGAACCGGCAGCCCAGACCCAATGTCAGGACTGGCAGCCCGGACCTAATGTTTGATCCGGCAGCCCAGACCTATTGTCTTATCCGGCAGCCCGTACCTATTTGTGAACAGTCCCTTATGTCCTAACAACTACGCTAGGAACTTCTTCRGTTGGGGCGTTGGGCTGGCTTAAAATTAGAGCTTACGGACAACAGCCCGGCCCAATTTTGAGTTGCCCAGGGGCGCCACAAACCCTGGTTAGCAGAGCCCAAGAGAAGGAGTGGGCGGGAGGGCCGCAACCCTGATCAGCGGCACCCTGCAGTATGCAAAAAGCTTACATGAGAAGGGCGGGCGGGATGAGGAACACCTCTAACAGCAAACTATCATATGAGAAAAGGAAGACTCGGAATAGTCAGAAATAGGGATGTGAGAGAAACTCAATTGACATTGGTAGAGAGAAGTACAGAAGGAATTARAACGRRDGYGCGAYGACAGCCTAACTGGGACTTTCCGCAGATCGACCGAGCCCTTGCGACTCGGAGCCGCACTGAAGTCGTACTAATCTTGACTGATCTAAAAAGGAAAGGGTGTTGAAATCCCGGTTTCGGATTGGCCTATACGTCTTATATTCGAGTTTCCTCGAATATAGAGTGTGGGCTCAACTCGAGGGAGTTCTGTTTACTGCACCCTCGAATAGGTATCCGAGCAACGGACCCTGTCCCCTAGTCAAAACCCAAAATTAAGAGCCGAGCGTACTCACTCTTTGAATTTTTAAGCCTTTTTCGCAAATTTTAAGAGAGTTATAATCGTCTAAATTAATAAAAATTGCTTATAAACAAGAAGAAAACACTACCTCGCGCTCAGCGCATAGGGGGATGTAATGAAAACCCTAGCGAGCCGCGASTTATGCACGTGCTTCCTTCTACCCCTTGCTGTTGATTTAATCCGAATATTTGACAAATAATTATAAAAAAATAACTTTAATAACTGAAAATTTCCGTCACTTGCCTCAGGCCTTTGGGAACAAGCCAGTAGGTTCACCCGAACCCAGGTTACCGCAGCGTCTCTTTCCCTTCTTCCTCTAGGGAATTCTTTTGTATTTTCTAATTATAAATTAAAAAAATATATATATTTAGTTGGGATAAAATCTCTTTTTTAGTTTATATATATTAAGGATGAATACATATATAAGCCCGCCGAGTTTGAAGATTTTTAGGGGTAGAAATATAATTTAGGGAATTTACTAAAATTTCGGCAGCGTTTCGCCTCCCCCCGTTGGGATGGGGTTGGGGCGAAACCCTCAAACAGCGCTGCCGAAGGGGGAGTATCAAAAGGAATAATGCAAAAAAAGGAAAATTAATTTAACTTGATTTTTAAAATAATTTTGTTTATTAATTTGTAAAAATTTAAATTAAAACTTTTAAAAGTGAAAAATCGAAAAATTTCGATAGCAGTTTTTCTTCCCCCCCATTGGGATGGGGTTCGGAAAAAAGTCCCTCAAATAGGTAAAGTAGATATGAAGTGCATTGAAGTCAAACAAATGCCCCTACACAATTTTTAATATTTATTTCAATTTTTATCGATTTTAAATAACAAAATCAAAAGTAAAATAATTCTTAATTATTTAATGGAGCAAAACTTTCCGAATCAATTTCCACAATCTTGCGGGATATATTTATCAAAAAATAATCCGTAACAAATGCGGAAGCTAGAACCTATGGCTTCCCTCTATTTACCCGCTTCTCTCAAAATTGGGGTTAGGACTTCACCCTAATTAGGGTTTTGGGTTTTGCGTGTAACCGCACAAACACCGCAAAGCCCTGCTCGACGCGAGAAAATTTTTGTTAGCTTTCACTAGTTTTAGAAGAAAAACTTATTGGATTACATTTTTAAATTTCTTTTTTTTTTAATTTAAACAAAATTACAAAGAAATTCAATTTCCCGTTCATTTTCTTCCCCCTTTTCTATCTGTTGGAGTTCGCCGTTTGTCCAAACGAAGTCCGTTTTCCCCGACTAGGGTCTCAAAATGTCGGGAAAAATCCAGGGACCAACTTTGGTCTCAGCAGGGTTCCCCTAATTTCGCTTATTTTCCCGACCATTT